TGTCATGCTATGTTACCTTTTCTTTTATCCAGTGTGAATAAAAATGGACCGAAATTGAAATAAATGTCAAATTATAGGACCGAGTTTGAAAGTATTCAAATGCTAAAAATAGATTTTGGCCAAATTATAAGGTCAATTTTGAATTTTAACTATGATTACAGTATGTAGGTTTTATATTTTTTATATTAAGCCTCTCATTATATAGTTTTTATGTTTTTATAATGGTATTAGTATCACAAACACTTCCTGGTTGCTTGGAATATCTATCTATACGTATATTTGTGCTTATAGTAAATGATTTATAATATGCAAAATTTAAATGTGCCTATATCATATAATCAACTTAGCAAGTGGGATGGGTGGGGTTGATGAAAGAGTGATGATAGAAATGTTTGGCAAAAAGCCATGCTAAATTTTGGCTTTTAATGCAAAAAAAGGAGCTTTTTCCTTCTTTATAAAAATATCTTGAGAATTGCTAAAATATCTTTGAGTGAATTAAAGTCAATGTACCAACTAAGTTAAGCACATCACTCTCATAAAAATAAAAAAATATAAAAAAAGTTTTTAAGCGTAGAATACGTAGCTTAACACAGAAACTGTTGTTAGTTACCACAACTTGATATAACGAACATTCATAATGTTTTGAGTTCATTTAAAAAAACATATGTCACCTAATTAATAGACTCAGTCTAAAAAAAATATATTCTTCAATGCTAATGCAAGTGGACTGGGTCCTACTGATGTGGCAATAAGGAAAAGAGACTCGGTGTTTACCCTAAGTCTAGTTTAGATCAAAGTACAGATTTAGAATTTTGCATTAGAGTAAATTTTGTTAATTTTATATAGTTTTACCCATGTCATTCAATACTTCAGTTTATTTACAATTACATGTCATAGATAAAAGTAGACTCAATTCATCGTAGCTGCTCTGGTGTACTTAACGACTATTGAATTGGGTTTTTATTTTGTCTTATGTTTATAATTTGATCATTGATCATCTGTACAGTGCTGGGGGTATTATCCAACTAATACATTTTAAGTAAAAATTATATTACCAATAGAGGGCCAGTATGATTATGTGCATAATATTTACTAAAAATTTAAATTTATAGGAGAGATAAGTAGTTTTAGTTGGGACAATTTTTTTTGCACTCGGATATATACATGGTCTAAACATGACTAAATTCTGGGTCGGATCCGCTAGAGGTCGCTGGGTTCAAAGACCGACCTTGAACCGACTCGTACCTAGGTGCGTGTCAGGTACATGACCCGGTGGGCCGGGCCAATTTAGTGACCCGTCGGGCCGAGTTCTAACCTGAAACCAGACCCAATCTAAGACCAACCCTAAAAAAAATTGAAAAAAATCTGACCGTTGATTTTTCAAGCCGGCCCGACACGTCGAGTCACATGTTACATAAATATGATCTTGAACTGGCCCGGTGTAAATTCGGGCATGGGGCTCGACCCGTTGTCAACGGGTTGGACTACGCCGGGTTCGTGCCGGATGACCTATGGTCATGTCTAACATGGTCTTTCTTTTACACATTATCCAATCAAAAAATATTTTTTTCACCCCAAAACTCACGAAATGATATCCGATATAAAAATCGCATATCCAAATGAACCGCATAATTAACGGTTATGCTAGATATTGTCGCATATATATCAACGCATATCCAAATCGGATGGATAGTTAAATATTAAGTGAAATACTTTGCACATGTTGTAATCGCATATCAAAATCTACTGCATAATTTACGATATGTGAAATTATTTCGCATATATAGTTATTGGATATTCAAAAAGGATAGTCGCTTATTTTACAATTATGCGACATGTTTTCTCATAGTTTGCGGCTCGCATATCCAAATCCACTGCATAATTACCATTTTCGATAACGTTTCACATATTCTGTTATCGGATATCCAAATTGAACGTCGCATATTTTATGTTATGCGACATATTTTTGCATAGTTTACGACTCGTATATCCAAATATCCACTGTAGAATTTACCATATGCGAGAACATTTCGCATATCTGTTATCGCATATCGAAATCGAACGTCGCATATTTTTTATTATGCAACATGTTTTTGCATAGCTTACGAATTGCATATCTAAATCCACCACTTAATATACCATATGCGATAACTTTTCACATTTACGTTATGTCATATCTAAATCGAACGATGCATAGTTTATGATTATGCAATAAATTAATGATTATGCGTCATAAGTTCGCATATTCAAGAATCGCACAACTAAATCGAAAGACTCAAAATTTAGAGATATCCTTCATTTTTTTGTCGATCCACATCATGAATCATATATCCGTGGCGTGAAGTGGACCGAGTATTCTATTTCCTAAGCACGTAAAATGATTCGGCGAGATTATTTCGATGAATTTTTAATTTTTAATTTTATTAGTTTGTTCATGCATTGTTGCGAAGGGGTCATAACTTAAAAAAAATTAAATTTAATACATAGGAGACCGACGCTCAAGCATTTATTAGTTTGTACGGATTCTCTTTGATCGTTAGTATTACAAGGTTTTAACCGAGCGCAATACAGCAATGATCGACTTGAAGGGCGGGTTTAGTGCTTCATTGACAAGTGCGATATATTGCATAGTTTTCGCATAACATAATGAAAAAAATAAAATTAAAAGATATCTTGTAATCACATGTAATATGTACGCACCAAATCTAAATAATATTCGCAACTTTAGTTATCACATATTTAAATTGAATGTTGCAGAAATATTTACAATTATGCAACATATTTTCGTAGAGTTTATGACTCGCATATTTTCATAGGGGATTTACTTTAAATAGAAAGTAAAATCCCGCCTAAAAATTTAGATTTTACTACAATTGGTAATTTTTATAAAATTCTTTGAAAAAAATTTAATTTCAAATTCATTCAAACATTTAAAAGAAAATATCATAAGCAGATTGTTTTTTATACATTCTATTTTATCTTAACATACATATAATCACATTCCTAACAAACATTAAATTTACTTATATATTTTTAAATTAATTACATCAATAAATAATATTAATATACATTAAGTATTTATTATTATATAAAAAAATATTACTTTTATAAGTGTTATAAATAATAATGACATTATACGAGAATAAATTTTTGAATAAAATAATATTTGACTATTATGATGAACTAAAATATGTAAACTTATTATTTTTTCTGTATTATATAAATAAATATATATGTTAAAATATTATTTATATAATATAAATGGATCAGCAGGTTAACTTATAAAATATTATTATTTTTTAGAATCTATTTCTCAACATTTATCTATCATATTTTATTTTTTCATTTAGTTTTCGAAATTCATATATTCGTAGTGATTTGTTCTCAGAAAATGCTCAATATTCGGAATTTACTTGTATAGCACAAATTACTCAAAAATATATTTGCAAATTACGTGCAATCACAATTTATTTATCATAATTGATCTCTAACTAATGACTTACCTATGAAAAATGCTAATAGATTGGTTTATTTTTCATGAAATTTGTGCTGAATAAGAAAACGATGTGGGTTGGCGTGCATTACTTTTGGTAAATTGTTCTCCAATAATTATTTCAGATTATGTGGATTGAATCCAAATTATCCATATATTTAACAAATAGTATAAATTCAAATGTGGATAAGGTACTGTGTGTTTTTGACAATCCAACAAGAACAGAACTGTTCTCATTTTGGGAGAACATATGAGATTTTATTCTGATTTCTTCCTATCACAATTCCTAGAGATCATCTTTTTTGCTTTGCCTGTAAAGTTGGGGCCTTTGAGCAATATGAGTGGCTAATAATTTGTAAACCAGATGATAGATATGTGAAGGCTGTAAAATAAGCGCACAATTGCAAAAGCACGTGCTACTACAATGACAGTGATATGTAAAAGTTCAATAAATTTTAATTCATTGGCTCAGATCGCATTGCATTTCGTTCTTTATTAATGTGTAAGTTGATTTTCAAGAGACGAGGCACTTTCGAAAGGAATTAATTAAGGCTAAATTACCACTGTATAATCATTTAATTATTAAATAGTATGGTGAGAATTTAATATTGTTTAGTTCAAGTNAAAATTGAAAAAATAAAAAATAAAAATGCCTAGCAATATTATAACCCAAAACAAATCAAATTGCATATCTGACATCAACGGATATCAATACAAATTGAACAACATCCATAATAAAGGTTTAACCTAATAAAAAAAATAAACCTAATAAATAACACTATAAAACAAACAACCGTGTAAGATTAAAAAGAAAAAATATGGCAACGGCAAAAAATCAATACGACTACATGAATTTATTTGTTTTAGTGACTTCTTTAATTTAATTGTTGTAATTGATGCTTCATCAAAGATAAAATACCGGCACATTTAAAGTATGATTTACCTCATTATATTTTCGTTGTTTGTTTTTACTTTTTTAGTATGTTCTCTATATTATTTAAATATTTATATTATGATATTTACATTATAACATTTGTGAGAAATCATTCTTTGATGTTATTTTTGAATTCATTCAAATATTATGATCATTTTTTGAATCAATCATCCAGTTTTATTATATGCAAGTATATTTATAATATTTTTGTAAAAATAAATTGTTATACTCAAATAGCTTACGCAACACGCAACGCTATTTACGCTATGCAGTATAAAGACCAAAACGTGACGCAATACGCTATACACATTTTAAAACACTGGTTTTGAGTACTTTGTTTTGCTGATTTATCCTTTTTTTTTTTAAGCTTTGACGCTCCACTTGTCAGAGTTGTATAGTTGTTGTATTGTGAGTACGTTTGTGTGGCCAGAGACTCAAATCTAGGCTACCTTTGTGTAGACCTGTGCTTACTGTAAACAACTATGTCCGCTTAAAAAGAGAGAACAATATATCGGTTGCTTACTGTGTCGAGTTAAGAATCTAAAGATCAATTTCGAAAATAACTCGAATGTATCTGCATCCACAACATATAAAGATAGAGACAAATGAAGCCATAGACTAAAACACTGATCGACACTTTACCGCCAGGTTGTTGGAAAAAGAAAAAATTAAAAACTATAAGATACCATTCAACAGATTTAAAACTACCAAAAGTTGCTTACGACTGGAAACTAGAGTTATTATTCTTGACCATCTCAAAAATTTTGCATTGTGTGAAATGCCAGGTTACAAATAGTTAGTTTGGAACAGCTTTCGTTAAGCTCGCCATGTACGTCAAGTATATGGTCCACAGGTACGAAAAAGAACTATTCACCAAGGGCTGCAAATGTGAGAAAAGATCAGTACTATCATGCCAATATAGCTAAAAATTAAAGAGAACTAATGACCTTCATCCAGTATTCAANAAAAAAAAAAAAAAAAAAAAGGAGGAAAGTCTCCATTGATCTAATTAAACTAATCTGCTCTCTAATAGAATTTAGGAAAAGCAGCTGAACTAATGTGGAGCATAGATGATTAGTCGGAATTCATTAAAGTGTTTACCTGCCAGTTTATTACAGACAATAATAGATATATAATTGGATTCAAGAGGATAACATAAATTTACCTGCAGGTGAACAGGAATGACTTTGTATGTCATGAAGTCACACAGTGGCCAGTACATAAGGCCATTAAGCAAAGTAGGAATCAGGTCCCTTTTCCATCTGGCAGCAATTTCACTTCCACTTTCTCCTAAACTCAACAAAAAAGAAAGAAGGAAAAAGTGATGTTATTGTTAAGTACTCTGCTTATATTTCCAAATCAGAGGACCAAAAACCATTTGATCAGTGCATCCTTTAGCAAATGATCAATTCTACAATGCTGTACCATATAAAGTAAATCCAAAAGGCACTAATTTACACCATTCAACATAGACAAAAACATAAAACAGAAATAAAAGAGATGACAATAGAAATTGCATATACCTTGTAGGGCTGCATTAAAAGAGAAGAAAACCCCATTAATCATAGGCCCATAGGCAAGCTGGCCCATTGCTAGTTTCTTGAAGGTAGTAACCATATCTCTCTTGGGCAGTGCTCTCCCCATGAAATTAAACCACACATGCTGTGCCGGGCCTAAAATAATCAGCCCAAACCCGGCCATTCTCAACGTCCTTATCGAGTCCCATGTATCCTTAGGCTCCATTGTGATTAGCTGACCAGTTTCAACAAACAAGTAAATTACAAAATCAAATGGTTGGTCACATCAATAAGTTAGTGACAAAGCAGGAATTTAGCCCTGTAAATTTTGCCCACATAAATTGCTAGTTTGTTTTTCGACCAGAATATATCATCTGAGGCTAAAATTATAGATCAACACAAGTTATATTCTACAAAACCTCAAACTCCTCACAAGTTGTGATGATTTTAAGAATGAAAAGGGTTAACTGGTGTTTCAGGCAAAAAATTCTAGGCGCTTGGGCCATAGATGATAAAATATGTCACATTGTCACACCAACAGGAATAGGATTTTTTTTTTCTGTTTAAAATACAAAAAGGCATCTATACTTATATAATAAGGTGTACCATTTACGAAATTTAGTAAGTTGAAAAGTCAATGCAATAAATGCATTACTATTTTGAGCAACATAATATAATATCATATCTATATATACTTATATAAAAGGAGATTCTATTTATTACATTTACTATCTAGAAAAGTTAATTGCATTAAATACCATTACTATTTTGGTATTATAATATTTTATTTATTTAATTAATTTATTTATTTGTTTTATTTTGAAAAGATAAGTATAATAAAAAGATTTTAATAATAAAAAAATCAAATAACAAATAAAAATGTACACTTTGACTTATTTGATTATATTTGGTATTTGATTATACCAAATATATTCCTATTTAGTATATACATTAAATACTTACTAAAGTATTTATTTGTTTTATTTGTCAAAGTTAAGTTTAGATTTGTTTATATTATCAAATCATAAAAAAGTATTAAATCCATATTGTAAAAAAAAATCATATAATTTTATAACATTTCTACTACAGTATTTAACAATATTCTTTTTTTATTATATAATAAAATAATAATTAAATATTATATGGTTAACAACAATAAGTAAAACTGTTACTTTATCTTATATCAAGGGATAAATTTATATGCTAAAATTAAATTTTTATTAGTATAAATGTTTTAGTGAGATAATATATTAATTATTGTACAAACTAGCTCTAACATGCTCATATTTAATGTTTTAAAAAATATAGAAAAAAACTTATAATAACTCTATTGTTTTTTAGATTTTAACGTTGATTAAAAGAGATAAAAATTCTTAATTTTTTAGACTTAAACGTTGATTAACACCATAGATTGAGAGTCTATATTTATTAAAATTCCTAATTGTAATAAAAAAATTAATTTTTGCTATATTTTAGAATATCTTTAAATTCATTATAAAAAAAAAAGAAAAAAAAAACTACAATGAAAAAAACAAGTCAGCTATATATCGATTTGTTGTACTCCTCAAATCATATTCACAATTTGGCTACAAGGAAAGGAAACTCATTGATTAAAATATTATTTTGTCAGTAGTCTTAATGTACAAGAGACTTTGAGACTCCACTTGAATATTATAAAACTTTTATTGAACATTGTACAATTTTCTTGCGTATTATAAACTTTATTGAATATTGCATCTTATAATATAATATTCTCCAAATAAAGATATCCCGTGCTTCGCACGGGTCACGTACTATATATATCCCGTACATTTTTCTTTATTCATGTATATAATTATAAGTCTGGATAAATAGCCTTAAAATTGTGCATCTCGTGCATCGCACGGGCTCTGTACTAGTGTATTTTCAAAAGATCATTCATTTAACCAACAGCCNTAACCTCACATCGAGTTCAATTAATGTGCGAATCTATTAAGTCATAGAAAAACGAGATATACATAGAAAAAAATGATCACATAAAAACAGATCCAAATAAAACCTAAAAATAAGAACAGCAATTACTGAAACTTAACAGGAAACATCATGAATGTTATAAAATAAAAGTAAAAAAACCTGAGAGGTAGTGTCAGCTGCCCCATAAATAATGGCCGACGATACGCTTTTCGTCAGAATCGGGCGAGCATCCAGCATACCCAAATACCAGTTCAGAAACCCCATTTTAGAATCCGACGATATAGACGAAAAGGGTCTGCGGATAATCGAAAAGTAGGTGAAAAAACGAGAAGGGGGCTCAGAAATTCCGGGTTTTCTCGCGAACAGGGGTTGTCGGAATGGGTTGTACGCTCGACATTGGCGATAGTACAAAGACAAGGAGCGGCGGCACGGTAGTGTGGCGGTGGCGCCTTTGAGTAAATGGAGTGTGGAGTGAAATCTCATTATTGGGAGTTTGTTTCAAGAATTCCTACTCAATTGGAAAGGATTACCAAAATGGAACAGGGGAATGGGTTTACGGTAAACCCTCCCCAAGAGGTTTCAGTTTGACTGTAGTTGCCGGATCAATTGGAACGGCCTTCTTGTTGAGGGAAAAAATTTACATTTGTATCCAAACTTTGGAAACCCAAATAATTTGGAACCGATTCTCACTTAATCAATTTTTGTTCATTGCCTTAATTTTTAAACCGGCCCGTTAGTTGTGTAGTCTTAGTCTGAGTGTGCGAAAAGCTTTAAATTTTAAGGGTTTAATCTTAATTCTAGTTCTATTGCGCTCAGAGCATCTCCAAGGTATGTTAATTGGAGAATTGTAAATGCTTTAGGATAGCATCTCCAATAGTATGTTAATTAGAGAATTGTAGATGTTTTAGGACAAAAACCCTCTTCTAACGATGATTTTTTAATTTCTTCTTGTCATGATGTGGCATTAGAGAGCTTAAAGTCTTTCCAGAATGGATGACTCATTTTTTTCCTCCTTTTTACTTCTTTTGTTTATAATTAAAATTTATTATTACGTAAAGAACACAAAAATATCTGATACAAAAAAAATATACCAGATGAATTGATAAAAAAAAAAAATACCAGATGAATACATAAAAACAACAAAGAAAAATAATAACTGATGAATACAAAAAATAAATATCAGTTGTTAAAAAAATATTTGATAAAAAAAATACCAGATGAGTACAAAATAATAACAGATGAATACAAAAAAAATACTGGGTGGTAGCTCTTTAAAAAATAAATATACCTTGGGTTGTGGATGGCAGCTATTCAAAAAATAAAACACGTATATAAACATTTACTGTGTTTAGACATCTACCACTGGAGAGTGACATATCAACATGACATTCTATTTCTTCCATGTAGACTAGAAGACCGTCTATTCAATTGTCAATTCACTTCAACCATTGGAGATGCTCTTAGGTTTATTTTGTAGACGAATATGTGACCTGCATAAATTCCACGTTTCTCATATAACTCCAATAGGAGCTTCGCCGTGGCTTCATGGAGAATGTTAGCAAGTTTAGGTACGAGCTGAGAAAAAAAAAAAAAAGATTAAGATATTTATTATACAAGTATAAGGAGCTCGGTGAGAGGTAAAGAAAATGAATAATAACTACCTCAACAAGCCGACGCATGTTGTACTTAGCTTGCATTTTGGAATCGCCTCCCCAAGTTTGCTATTAACCACATTAGAGACGTGATCTACAACATGTTTGGCAGGTTTGCTAATATCTACAGTTATTTGGGCTTCACGGGAACTTACCTCGTAAGCAGATAAAGGAATTGCCTCAGAAGGGCCGGTAGTTAGATCTAAACTATAAGTATCTACAAGTTGTTCTAAACATTACCAGGAGACCTCTCCCTCAAGCTAATCTATGAGGTGTCTGGTCGACCTAATAGGTTGAGTTGAAGTGATGGTTGCAGGGATATTAGCTAGGGATTGGTCCGAGCTCAATGAGGTCATGATGGTGTTATTGGAATTAAATTGTGACACCGCAAAAATCTGAAACCGAAAATCTAAAATTTGTACACTAAACCGCACTGCAAGAAAATAAAAAATCGAACTGAATAAAACCGAAATTTTCGGTTTGGTGTGGTTCGATTTTGCAGTTAACCGCAATTAAAAAAATGTAAAAACACAAATTAAAGTTCAAACCATACAAATTTAACCTTAAGACAAACACAAATCAAAGTTCACTAATTTTTCTAATGTTATAATTAATTATAAATGTAAAACCGTGTAAGAATTTAAGAGTTTAAGGTAATGTACTAGCAACTTCATTTGACACATCAAAGTTTTGGTACAGTTCGGTTAAAACTACGCCGCACTGAATTTTTTGCGATTTTTAAAATTCAAGCCGCACCGCAAACCGAACCTTTTAAAAACCAAACTGCACCGCACCGAACGCGTCAGTTCGGTTCGATTTTTTAGTTTTGGTGTGGTTTTACTCACCATTACATATGGATGATCTATAAGTAGTAGATCATAGACCTAGGAAATGATACACTTTATTGATGATGTCACCTAGGAAGGATCTAGATCACCTTAGAGATAATATTAGATTTTGGGCAGACCTAAGGGGAGGCAAAATAACCGTAGGGCATACCTTGGGCAGCTGGGGCATCCGGGCAATAAGATAGGGCAGACCTCGAGTAGCCAGTGGCAACCGGGCAGTAAGATTAGACAAATCTTGGACAACAAGGCAAGGTTTATAATATATATGTTTCAGGTATAAAAGGGTAAGGAATTACACTCTCTAAATTTAAATATGCTTACTGTAAGAAATTTAACGGGTATATTAATAACTATTAGGCGGAATTGAATAAACCCTACGCATGTAATTCTATCAATTCATAGAATATGAATCTTTGCATAAATTAAATTGCACATAAAACTTACAAGAATTCAGCTTATAGTCATTCCCTATTTTCTTGATCTATGATGTTGATCTACGATCTTCTTTCTCGTAATCTCCAATGATGGGTTTGTCTTTGCCTTATGAATTATTTCTCTCTCCCGCATCTCTCGTCTTTCTATCAATTCATTGATGCTGAAAACTTTATTTTCGTATGAGATGGGAGAGAGGGGCATGTAGTATATATATATATATATATATATATATATATATATATA